AAGCTGACCTTGCATTCCTGAAATAAATCTCGATGTATGTGGAGGCTTCAAAAAGTTTGTGGAAAAAATCTATTATCATTTAATTCCATTTTTCCATGAACTTTTTGAAGCCCCCTCATATAATTATTTTTATATGTTGCTGGATTGAATTTACTAGCATTTTGAGGAGTTTTATGTCTGTGTTCATAAGAGCTATTGGTTTATGGTTTTCTTGGGATACCTTTGTCTGGTTTTCATAACAGAGTAATACTTGTCTCATGGAATAAGCTGAAGAACGTTCTTTTATCTTTTATTATAAAGTTTGTGAAGGACTGGTATAAATTCTTTTTTGAGTGGTAGAATTCACCATCGGAGTCTACACTTTTCTGTAGAAAGATTTTTAATTACTATTTCAATCTCTTTACCATGTATTGGCCAATACAAATTTTCTCTTTTTTCCTGAGTTAATTTTGGTAGATTACATCTTTCTAGAAATTTGTTCATTTGTTTAAGTTTTCTAAGTAGTCAGCATGAGGTCGTTTATAATATTCCTTTATAACAGTTTCCATATTGTGATGCCCCTTCTTTAATTCCTAATTTGAGTCCTCTCTCTTTTTTCCTTGATCAACCTAGCTAAAAGTTTGTCAACTGTGCTTTTCAAAGAACCAACTTTTAGTTCCCCTGATTTTCTATATTATGTTTCTACCCTCTATACTTTACTTCAAAGTGGTTACGAGTTACGAGTTGGGCTGCTTACTTCAGGGTCAGCAGTTCAAAATTACCAGCTGTTCTGCAGGAAAAAGATGAAGCTTTTTGCTCCCATAAAGATTTACAGCCTCTGAAACCCTTATACAGGGTCTCTATGAGTCAGAATTGACTCTGCGGCACAACATACTTTACTCTGGACTGCTGGTGTGGTGCTGTAGGATCAGCACTAGACTGTAAACCACAAGGTCAGCAGTTCAAACCCACCAGCGGCTCCTCGGAAACCCTATACAGGGTCGCTATGAGTCGGAATCAACTCCACATTAACAACAAACAATAATGTAGTTTACTTCTGTGTGACACTGTAGGATCGGTACTGGACTTCGAACCACAAGGTCAGCCGTTCAAACTCACCCACGGGTGCTCCTTGGAAACCCTATACAGGTTCGCTATGAGTCAAAACTTACTCGACAGCACTAACAACAAAAGACTTCACTAGTTCCTTCCTTGTAATTGCTTTAGGTTTGGTTTGCTCTTCTTTTTCTAGATACTTAAAGTGGAAGGTTAGGTTGTTAATATGAGACTTTTCCACTTTGTTATTGTAGCTTCATACAGCTCTAACTTTGCCTCTAAGCACTACTTCAGCTGTATCCCATAAGTTTTAGTATGTGTGTTTTTATTTTCATTCATATTTATGAATTTTCCTAATTTCCTTCTGTTATTAATTTGCAATTTAATTCCATTGCTATCATAAAACATAGTTTTCTTTTCTTTTTCTATTCTTCAAGCTGTAAATTTAGGTAATTGATTTGACATCTTTCTTCCTTTGTAATATAGACATTTACAGCTTAAACAGCCCCCTTCCCTGAGAATTGCCTTCATTATATTCATAAGTTTTAGTAGATTGTATTTTCATTTTAGATCATCTGTACATACTTTGTAATTTGCTTTGTGACCTCTTTAACTTCGTTAATAGTGTATTATTTAATTTTGACATATTTGTGAAATTTCCAGTTTTTCTTCTGTTGTTGATTTCTATTTTCCTTCCATTGTTGTCAGAAAAGATAGTTTCTATGCTTTCAATCTTCTTTAATTTAATGAGACTTGTTTTGTGATACAGCATGTGTACTATCCAAGAGAATGTTCTGTGTGCACTTGAATGTATATATGTCTGTTGATGTTTGGTAGACTGTTCTGTCAATTTCTGCTAGGTCTAGTCAGTTTATAGTGTTGTTTCAAGTCTTCTGTTTCCTTCTTGACCTTCTGGATAATTGTTGTATCCATTATTGAATGTGGAGCATTGAAATCCCCAAGTATTGTTGTTAAATGGTCTATTTCTTCCTTCCATCCTGTCCATTTTTGGTTCATGTGTTTTGGGGCTCTATTTTTAGGAGCCAGTACTATATTTTTACAATGCTTCTAGACTCGAGTGAAAGGTACCACTGGCAGAGTGACCTTGCTGAACTGGATTTTGAAAGATATTATGAAGTTTTGTTTTCTAGTTAATAAGGTGTTTTTCTGGTTAATAAGATGGGGTTTGAAGTGAAATTCAGACTCTACTATTTATGGTCTATGTTACCTTGGCTAAGTCACATAGGTTCAGTTTCTTCCTATGTATCTGGTGGATAAGTCACAAGGATCAGTTTCTTCCTATATAAAATGGAATAATGATAGTATCTACCTCATTGGATTACTGTGAGAACTAAAGTGCATAAAGAGTTAAGTGTTTACTTGTCATCTGTCTGCTAGTTTGCTAATTGCAAAGTGAGTTACATTATCTGAGAATATTCTCAGATAGAATACGAGAACACTTCAAAAAGTTCATGGAAAAATGGTCTTAAGAATGTAAGCATTTCATTCAATGCAGTCCTTTATGCATTTATTAACTAAAGAAAAGTGGGTGCTCTTTAAAGACTTTTTTTTTTTTAAGATTTAGAAACAAAAAGAAGTCAGGAGGAGTCAAATCAAGACTGTAAGGTGAATGCCTAATGATTCCCCATGGATACGTTCCCAAAACTGTCTTTGTTTGATGAGAGGAATGAGCAAGAATATTTTCATGGTGAAGATGGACTCTCTGGTAAAGTTTTCCTGAGCATTTTGTCAGCTAAAGCTTTAGTTAATTTTCTCAAAACACTCTCAAAATAAGCAGATGTTGCAGTTCTTTAATCCTGCAATATGTCAACAAGCATCCCCAAAACAACAACCATTAAAAAAAAAAAAAAAAAAAAAAAACTGTCACCATGACCTTTGCTCTTGACCAGTCTGTTTTTGCTTTGACTAGACCACTTCCACCTCTTGGTATAATCATTGCTTTGATTGAGCTCTGTCTTCAAGATCATACCGGTAAAGCCATGTCTCCTCTCCTGTTACATTTCTTTTTTTTAAAAAAAAGGCATCAGGATCTTGATCCCACTTGTTCAAAATTTCCATTGAACGCTCTGCTCTTGTCTACAGCTAATCTGGGTACAACTGTTTTGGCACTCATCAAAAAGAAAGTTTGCTCAACTTTACTTTCTCAATCACAATTGTATAAGTGAACCAATTGAGATGTCTGTGGTGTTGGGTCCTCTTCAGTTAGGGCACAAACAATATTGATGGTTTCCTCTTAAACTGATGTGGACTTCTGCCACTGTGGGTTCCAACATCCTCTCGTACCTTCTTAAACCACGTTATCCATTTGCAAACTGATTTCTTTGGGGCAGTATTCTCATAAACTTTTCATAAAGCAGCAGTGATTTCACTGTGTTCCAAGATTCATCATAAATTTGATGCCTGTTCTTGCTTCAATTTAGGCAGATGTTTTGTTGCTCTGATAGGGACTTTTTCAAACTGCTATCTTATCCTCCATGGTGCCTCAAACTAGATCCTATTAGATATACTATAACAAATTAGTATGAGTGTATTTTAGTGCAAAAAAACTGTTGAAATCCATGCGTAGCTTTTCATAATATGCATTTTCCATGAACTTTCTGAAGACCCCTCATATGGGGAGGGGATCCCAAAGCAAACTGAGAGAGATAAACCATTAAAAGAGAAAGCATTTGCTACAGAAAAACCTCGGGACATTTTACCACATGTACATGTGAGAGTCAGAGCTGGCATAAATGCATAGAAGGCCATCTCTTTACTAATAGGATTTGAGGAATTACAAAACTATTCTTCCCACCTCCACCTCCATATATAAATCCTGGCATATCTCCCATACATTTGGCACATTCAGGTGCCTTGAATTCTACTAAAAAACAAAAACAAAAACAAAACAAACAAACTAGTAGCTGTCGAGTTGATTCCAACTCATGATGACTCTATGCATGTCAGAGTAGAACTGCACTCTCTAGGGTTTTCAGTGGCTGTGATCGCCAGGCCTTTCTTCTAAGGTGCCTCTGGGTGGATTTTTAACTGCCAACCTTTTGGTTAGTTGTCAAGGGACTCTGGAATTCTGCTTTATTCTTTGGGGCGGGTGGTCACTCAGTCTCCAATCCTCTTTGGAATACAAACTCTTGGACGGTGTACGTAGCCTGTTTTATACTTTCTTACTAAAGCACTATACAGGGTCGCTATGGGTCGGAATTGACTCGACGGCACTTGACAACCACAACAACACTAAAGCGTTAGTATTCGTCAGATTTATTTGCCTTCTTCTAGAAGAGATTCAAGATAACCCAAGAGCACTGGACATCTGAAGGTTGAAAAGACCAAAATGGATGAGGGCAAGAGCAGGGACAGTTGTCCAAAGGGATCATATTTACCACGTTCAGTATACATACAGCTGAGCCTCAGACCAGACACACTCATGCAAGAGTCCAGCTGGATTCAGATTTCAAGGTGTTGGCCCCCACCCTACCTCACTCCATGCCTTTTCCCATTTCAGAAGTGATGGGGCTACTAACAACACCGTCCATTCGTTTCTACTTATTCAACGCCCTGGGTCAGCACTGACAGGACCCATCAACTTCCATTCCCCTAACCACCAGCAGCCAGGTAATGCTTGGGAGCTTTGGTGGTGCTGTAGCATAAGCACTGGGCTGCTAACCACAAGGTCGGCAGTTCAAACTCACCAATCAGTCCACGGGAGAAAGATGAGGCTTTCGGCTCCTATAAAGATTTACAGCTTTGGAAACCCTGCACAGGGTCACTATGAATTGAAATCCACTTGATGGCAGTGGGTCTGGGGACTTCTGGTTTTTTCAGGTAATGCTTGGTTTTGGTACCTGCCACGCAATTGGGCTGCAGAGACGTGGGCCAGAAGTGCCAAGGGAGTGCAGCTACAAAACTCAGCACCACGGCTCACGTATTGATTCTCTTTCTGGGTTTAGATTACATGCACAGCGCCCACCGCCCTGTCACTGGGGGCCACCTGGGGAAAAAGGAGAGTAGTTATGTGGGCAGCGTGGGCACCAGCCCCAGGAAGTCGAGCCACTGCACGCCCCCGCCTGCCGACTCTGAGCTTGTCAGCTTCTGCTACCTCCATATGCGGGAACAAAGGAAGGAGCGGGAAAGCCGGACAGATGTCAATGAGAACCTAATCTTCTTTGAGGAGACCAGGCCCCGGACCAAGTCTGACCCCACATCCAAAACCTCTGGCCAAGGCTATGATGTGGTCCCTGATGACTTTGATGCAGCCAGCCTCGACCATGAGCCTTGTGCCAGCAGGGCCCGGTCCTACACCTTGGACAATTCCTTTGGGGCTGATGCCCTGAACTTCTACTGTGACTCTTGCAAAGCCAAATTCCAGGAACAGCTGGGCCCGCGCAAAGGCGGAAGGCCTGGCTCTTCTCGTGACAATATGGTAGACCTGATGTCTCTCCCACCCCCTGGGAGTGAGGAGGAGGAGGAGGAGGAAGATGAGAGCACTTCTCTGTTGCCTGCCATTGCTGCCCCACCCCCTGGTTTCCGAGACAACAGTTCAGATGAGGATGACTCCAAGCGCCGGGCCGTCCAGAGCCAGGAACAAGGACGCCACCTGCGTGGGCTCCTGTACGAGGAGATCCCAGTGACACTGATTGATAGTGTGCAGACCCGGACAGTCCGAGATCATGCCCAGGAGCTAGATGATGCCTTGGTGTCCACTCTGCAAGCTCTGGAAGCCCTGGCTGCTTCAGAGGATGGACCACACCCCCCACCCCCACAGACTGCAGGTAATGGCCCATTCCTCCTCCCTCTTGCCTCCCCTCCCTTCTCCTGGCCAGGCAGGGCCAACAGGTGGCATTGCTACTCCGCAAGTGACATCAAAATCATCCTTGTATGTCAGGGCAGTGGATGGGCCAGAAGTAGTTCAGATAGGATCAGGTGAATAGTGATGGTGCAGCAGTGACTGGCTGCTCAGTTCTAGGTAAGAGTTCTGACTCTCGCCATTCCGTCTTTATGGAAATGCCTTACAGGTGGATCTCAGAGATTGGGGCCATGACAGCTATGGAGCCAGGCCAGGATGGAGGATCAGAGAAAAATTGTGAGAGATATAGAAGACGGGCAAAGATCATCCAACATGCATATGATTGGAAGAAACCCAAAACGACCAACTAACCACCTAGCGACCTGGGATCAGGGAAGTCAAGAGTCATCACTGCTCAGGGCTGAGGTCTTCCTCCCGCCTAAGAGCATGGGCTCTGAGTCAGACACATCCAAGTTCTAGCCTCTTAATTCACTTGCATTGTGGTCTTTGGCAATGCACTTAAACCTCCTTGCACCTCAGTTTTGTCATCTTAAATGGAGTTGATAACAGTAGCCAATATCACAGAGGGTCGTTGTGGTGATGAAATGAGATCATTCATGCAAAGCACTTCTTAGCACATAGTAAGGACTCTGGAAGTTGTAGCGATCATCAATAATGGTTATTTGGTAGGAGAACCATGCAACATGCATGCTATCCCTTGATATGTACACGTGTATCCATCTTGTGGACAAACATACCCATTATACTTGCATCTGTAGTCATACGCATACATATGTCTGCACATACAGACTTTAAAACAAAGAGGTCAATGACGCAGCAACAGAAGAAAGGAATGTGGAGGAATAAAGGATATGAAACAGACAAAAGGTGGCAGAAAAAGGGTAAAGAGATTGAGGTCCAAAGGAGCCTGGCTAACCAGGGAGAGTACCAGTCCCTGCTACCCCATTGTGCACATGGGCATCATCCTTGGCACTGGGCACACCTCGCATTCTTGGCCCAACTGCTAACGTTTCTCTTTGCTCTGAGTCTGGAGCTCCAAGCACTAGCTGCTCCCAGGCTTGAGGCCCATGTGGCAGCTAGAGAGATGACAAGCTCAACTAATGGCCTCAGCTGCAAGGGTAGTAGACAAGCCCGGCCTCTCTGCCAACCCTCTTCAGGGCAATTAACACGAAATTTCCTAGCTGTTGAATCTAAAAATAGTGTTGATTAGCATGTTGTTTTGCGTGTGGTTTGCATGTGAATTTGCTATCAAACTGCCCAGTGAGTCCCTTTGCATATTTTGTTTTGCTTACAATTTCCAGCCCTTTACAATTCACCTCACAGCTTGCCCCTCTCTGATGATCCTCCACCCTCAGCACTGCAATCCCTCTTAGACCTTACTGGTTATCCTCAGCTTGAAACCTTGCTGGCTGGCCTTGGCCTCCATAAACTCTCTACCACTCTCTCTGTTTTGAACGGAACTGAATCTCAGTGTAACAAGCCCTGTCCCTATTCCTCCAGGTCTGATTGTGCTGGCCACAATCACCCCTGAATCATCACTGGACTCGGGCCATGAAACCAACTCCTCAGAACTCACAGACATGTCGGAGATGATGTCAGCCATGAAACAGCACCAGAATACCACCTACTTCCTGGCCCAGCATCTCAACAAGGATAGCCTCCTTGCCCGCAAGGACCTTCCCTTCCGGATCCAGAGCTGTGCTGCTCAGGCCGTTCTCACGGCCCCTTATTCTCTTGGGCGCCCAGATCCCAACCCTTCCTTCCAGCCATCTGTCACAGGCCAGAGTCCTGGGCCCCCTGGTGCTCGGAGGAAGCTGCCTCAGTCAGAGGCCCAGCCACAGGGTGAGCGAACTTACGCCCTGACAGTACACCCAGCACTGTCACCCCGGCTTAGTGAGCAGAAGAATCTCAGCCTGCTGTCTCCCGTTCCTGAGGACAAAGGGCCTGGCCACACTAGGGCCGGCCTAGAGATGTCACTGAGGGCAGCCACACCATCCCTCAGTGAAGAGCAGGTCTCTGAGCTGAGAGAGAACCTACCCAAGGAGGTCAGGCTGAGTCCCAAGCTTATCCTGGACCCCAAGGGCAGTGTGACCCCAGCCATCATCTCGGCCGCCCTTCAACAGGTGGTTCACAGTAAGAGTCTAGCCACCCCTGGCGGAGCCTTGGGAAATGCCTCCAGCAGGGGGGAGAGGAGGCTGGAGGCTAACATGGGGAGACCAGAGGTCGGCATGACAAGCAGCAGTGCCAATAAGAATCTTAAGTTCAAAATGAGCCCTGGTGGGCCAGATAGCACACGGAATTCCCAGCAGCCGAGCACCTCCTCCAGCCCCAGAGCAATCACAGGCAGCCGGGCTGAGAGCCTGCACCTCTCTCCACAAGAGGACAGGCTATCAGGTCAACGTTTCCCGCCCAAGAGCTATCTGCCACGAGCGGGTGGAGAGTCCGTGGGCAAACAAGCGTCAGGGGAGGGGCCAGGCAAGGGTGGGCCCGAGAGCACTAAGCCCACCCTGCACAAACAGAGCACCGTCTCAAGCCAGGGGGAGAAGGGGCAGCTGGAGAACACACCCAAAAGCAGCAAGCTGGAGGAGACTAGCATGGTACCCCGAGCTGGCTACCCCATGGCGCTGCAAAGCCCTAGCTGCCCGCCACGAGGCCACAGTCCTAGCCCCAGCAGCCAGCCACGAGGCCCCAGCCCCAGTTGCCAGCCACGAGGCCCCAGCCCCAGCAGCCAGCCTCGAGGCCACAGTCCCAGCAACCAGCCTCGAGGCCACAGTCCCAGCAGCCAGCCTCGAGGCCCCAGCCCCAGCTGCCAGCCTCGAGGCCCCAGCCCCAGCTGCCAGCCTCGAGGCCACAGCCCACTGAGACCTCAGGTTGACAGCCGACAGGTGAGCACCATGCCCTCCCGGAAGCTTGAAACGACCGTGGATGGAGCCCACTCAGCCTCTGAAGGCCCTGCAAAGCCCAAGTTGTCCCGAGGTCCTTTCCGGCTACGCAATTTATTTTCTGCCACCTTCCCAACCCGCCAGAAGAAGGAGACAGATGAGCGGCAAGCCCAACTGCGAAAGGTAAAGCAGTATGAGCTGGAGTTCCTAGAGGAACTTCTAAAGCCCCCAAGCCAGGGGGAGCTGCCAGGCACCGAGTACCTGCAACCTCCAGCACCTGGCCGCTGCAGCTGCCAGCTACGCAGCAGTCCTGTGCAACAGGGACCTGGCATGTCCCGAGAGCAGAGGCGCAGCTGTGATTGCAAGCGCATCTGCCGAGGGGGTCGGCCTCAGGCCGCCCAAACCCCAGTGCCCAGCCTCCGGGGTAGGGAAAGGAACAGGATCCCCGCTACCCAGAGGCAGCCAGAGGCTAGCCTAAGCTTGACCTTAAGCAGCCCTACCAACATTCGGCGCATCCGCTCCACCAGCTTGGAATCCAGAGAGTGCCGATCAGACCCTGAGAGTGGTGTTTCTTGCCTAACCACGTGTGCCTCAGGGGGCGAGTGTCTGGGAGCTCCCAACTACAGGAAATTGATGCGCCGCTACAGTATTAGTGAGCTGGACCAGGGCGACAGGGCCTCGCTGACCTCGGATGTCTACCCTCACCCACCCTTGGGAATGCTACCCAGGGAAGCCAAGGAGGTAGAGGCAGGCCTTCCCCTAGCCTTGGGTCCCAAAACCAAATCTGTAGAGTCACCAACTCTGGGAGATCCCTCCTACGTCCAGATTGCTCCTGAGACCAAAGGCCCTAGGCAGATGGCTGTGTTCTCCCTGCCAGAGGAGGTGTACCGCAAGCCTGCTGAGTTGGATGAGGACAGTGAAAGCAGCAAATGCTGCTCCATCCGCTATTGCTTCTACTACCGCAAGTGCGACATGGCCGATGATGCAAGTGATGGCAAGGACGAGCTCTCCTACTCTATCCCCATGAAGATTCTGCCTGGCATGAAGCTGAACGAACAGATGGTGCCCGTGGTGAGCAGGACCCTGCAGGTGCTAGATGCAGCTACCTGCAGTAGCAGCAGCCCTGAGACCGCCCGCACCCAAGAGATAGATCTGCGGGTGTCCACCTTTGAGGGAAGCCTGGCCAAGATCAATGCCTTGCGAGCCCATGCCTATGGCCTGCCCGATGGCTTCCTGGCTGCCAGGCTAGACACCAATGAGCTGCTGACAGTCCTGAGGCAGTGTGTGGCCAGCCCTGAGGCCCGCGCCCCCAAGCCCTACGTCTCCCAGATCTCCGAGTACAAGCTCGAACTAGCTCTCAAGTTCAAGGAGCTCCGGGCCTCCTGTCGCCGTGTGGCCAACGTGGACAAGAGCCCAACTCACATGCTGGCAGCCATCACAGGCAGCTTCCAGGTGCTCAGCAGCCTCATTGAGACCTTTGTGCGGCTGGTGTTCATCGTTCGCTCTGAGGCCCAGCGCCAAGAGCTGCTGTCCAAGGTAGAAGAGGTGGTGAGGAACTACACCTTTCTGCTGCGCGCTGCTGAGGAATCCACAGCCCGGAATCTTAATCAGCAGCAGCAGCAACAGCAGCCGCCGTCACCTCCACCACCGCCTCCGCTGCAACAACAGCAGCAGCAGCATGAGGCTGCAGGAGCTATAGGGGCTGTCACAGGGCAGCCACCAGGCTCCCCAACCTCAGCAACTGTTATGAGCACATTCACCCGCTCCTTAAAAACCCTTATCAAGTAGGCCATCTGCCCAGGCCCGCCCTCCCCCCAACCATGGCCCCAGGTCCTGAGCTTTGTGGTCCTTGCATTTTGTAGTGAGTGTGTGTGTTCTCTGGGCCGCTCAGGGCCCAAGAGTCCTTCAGTCTCCAAGCAGTGACAACTCCCTTGGTTGATATACTCCCTGAGGGCTCCAGGCAGCTGCTGCCCTGGGTGACCTCGGCCCTTCCTTGGCCTCTGGGTGTCACTGTGAGGGCAAATGCCTCTCATCACCACGCCCAATGGTAGAGCTGTCTCTTCTCTCTTCCCAGGGGCTGAGAGGTGACATCAGGCTCACTTCCTGCACCACCACAGGTGCCAGGGGAGCCTGGGCCTGAAGCAGGCAGGCCCAAGGGCTTTGCGCTCCTCCTGATATCTGCCCCCCCAACAGGAAGCAGTGGCAGTAGCAGCAGGCCACAGGGCCAAGCAGAGGGGAGAGGGCGCTCTACCCAGATATGCCCGCCCACCCTGGGCTCACACTCACTTGGCAGGAGCCATCGCAGAGGGCACCTACCTGCCTGGGTGGGATGCCTGTCTGCAGAAAATAACCACGCAGGGCTGTTTGCAGCCAGCCTCACCGCTGGCAGCCTTGGGAATCCTCGTCCCCAGGTCCAGTAGCTCCACACCAGCCATCCCCAAAGTGCCCTGCCCGTCAGTGAGGGGCAGGGCAGCTCAGTCCACTAGGGAGCAAGCATTGGGGATCACTCCAGTTGTTTTGGGTAAGGTGAAAATGTCTGCCCTGGGGAGACCCACTGCAGGTCCTGGAGCCTGCTCAGCCCAGTCCAGGGGCTGTTGCTGCTGGCCTGTGGCTCCTCTCAACATCTTTACCAGACAGACTGTCCTTAGGAGTTTGATTTAGCTATGGATTGGGGGTGGGGGGAGGGGGCGGGGGGGCTCGGGTGGGGGGTGTTGATGACTATATCTTAAATTTCTGGAAGCTAGCGTGATATGTTAATCCTGAGTATATGCTTTTGGCTGTGTATTGACCCTGTGGATTTGTCTCTCTAAGAAAAGAAGCTGAGCGCCTTACCCGGTGCAGCCCTGCACCTCTCTCCCCATCTCCAGAACAATCTGGAAGGGGAGTCACACTGTTTAGCATCCTCCTTGACACACATCTCTTGCTGCCGCTGCTGCTCCCCCACCCCATCCCTTTCACTTTCCTGGGAGTGAAGACACGGAGTCCCTACCAATGATCCCACTGTAGGGAACAAAGAAAGCCAACGTTTCTTCTGTATAGATTGCTTATCATCTGCCCCTCCATCTCTCCCTGGTTCCCACAAACTCATCGCCCGTGTTTGCCTCTCTTTCATCCTTATGTGAGAGGCCCATGTGAAGTCTCATTCTTCTGTGAGTTTTATAAAAATGTACACTGTGCTATAACCTCTACCTTCTGCCCATCCTTGGTACCCCCTTCCCCCAGTGCAATAAAGTCCCTCTGAGTGGTGATTTCTCCTGGCAAGGATGAAGGGAGCTCTCTCTGCAGAAACCAGCCCCCCCACTTCCTTGCCTCTTATCCACAGGACCAAGTTGTTTAATGGGCCAGAGATGCAGCCAGTGGGGAATCCTTTCCCCCGTGACCATGGCCAGCCAGAGCACTGACGTGGTCTTCCTCTTCCCTCAACTTCTTGATCCTGCACATTCGCCACTCAGCTCCTGCCTGTCTCATTTCACCGCCATCCTTCACCTCTCCCACAGCCTCATGGAGAGGAAACATTTTCTAATGTCTGTATATAGTATATATACTACACAAATATATAAATTATATATATATATACTAATTTATGTCTTGTTTTTCAAACAAGAGTGAATAAATTTATTCATCTTACTCTCCCAATAAGACTTCATGGTGCCTTTTTGTGGGTGTCCTTGCGTCCTGGAGTTGGTGGGTGATGGTGACCCTGTTGAGTACTGGTCCTGGATATCTACCCCCATGCAACTGGACCCTAAAGGGTGATGGGCGCTGAGGACCCTGTTACGCCTACCTCCCCAATAAGCAAGGGATCCCCTTAGGTCCTCTTAGAAGCCACCTGTTTGTCATGGGAGTTGGATATCACCTACTTCTTTCTGTTGACCATGAGGTCTCTGCCTCACCAGGTAACCATGGCTGTGACCTCAGAGCTGAAGAGTTCAGGAACAAAAGCACAGTGTGCTACATGCCTAATATACCCGATGGCTTGGGACATAAGAGCCAGGCTTATCGGCTATATATCAGGCTGGGAACTCCTGGTGTGACACTCTAGGGTAAGTACTGGACTGATAATCACAAGGTTGGCAGTTCAAACCCACCACCCGCTCCTTGGAAACGGCACACAACAACAACAATCAGGTTGGGAAGGGGCTATGGTGGTGCTTTGGTTAAGCACTCGACTGTTAAACGAAAAAGTCAGTAGTTTAAACCAACTGGCCACTCCAAAGAAGAAAGATGTAACTGTCTGCTTCTGTTCAAATTACAACCTATGGAAACCCTATGAGGTGGTTGTGTGTCCTATAAGGTTGCTATGATTCTGTGGCAATGGGTTTGGGTTTTGGCATCAGGTTGGGGTTGGGAGATGGGGATCGTCCTTCTGAAACTTGCCCAGTTGCCTGAGAGCTAAGCCTGACTACCTTGTAGTTTGTTATTGTTTTGTTGTTGCTAAAGTGCCGTCGAGTCGGTTCCGACCCATAGCGACCCTGTATAGGGTTTCCGAGGAGCTGCTGGTGAATTTGAACCTTACAGTTCAAACCAACCTTGTGGTCCAGTGCGTTATCCTATAACGCCACACCAGGCCTCCTGTTATTGTTGTTAAGTGCCGTCAAGTTGATTCTGAATCATAGCAACGCTGTATGCGGTTTCTGAGGAGCAGCTGGTGAGTTTGAACCTGCCGACCTTATGGTTGGCAATCCAGTGCTGATCCTACAGTGCCACACCAGGAGTTTAGACTAAGGAATATCTTGTAATTACTTTTGGCAATTTTTTTAAAGCAAGTTGGGAGGGAGGCCTGGATAGGATACAAACAACCCACCCCTAAGCAGAATATCCCTCTCTGGCTTTGCAGATAGTTACTAAATTACTAGACGCTTTTGTTTTTCCCATTCTCTTATTTCTTATTGTTGTCACAGATCCACCTACGCTGAGTCTTTGTACAGATTAGAAAACATTCTCCCTCTTCCCTGCACCACTCGACCCTGAGGAAAAATTAGAAGAAAAAACAAATTTCACTTTCTAGAGTTATGCAAATGATTAAATGTTTGACAATTAGCTGAAGTTGGAGGTTCAAACCCACCTAGAGGTGCCTCAGAAGAAAGACCTGACAATCTGCTTACAAAGTTACAGCGTTGGAAACCCAGTGGAGCAATTCTACTCTGCACTCTCGATCGCCATGAGTCGGAATCAACGCCATGGCAACTAACAACAACTAGGTGATGATAGCCCTGTGGGGACATGGCTTTGTCATTTTAGCTTTCTTCAGCCTACTTGCTTCCTTGGTTGGGTGTTGTTGTTGTTGTAATTTGCCGTGGAGTCGGTTCCGATTCATAGCGACCCTAAACAGGGTTTCTGAGGCTATAAATCTTTATGGGAGCAGAAAGCCTCATCTTTCTCCCACGGAGCAGCTGGTAGTTTCAAAATGCTGACCTTGTGGTTCGCAGCCCGATTCGTAACCACTACGCTACCAGAGCTCTATACGACAGTAAAATTGCTTGGGTTGGGTGTACAAACTACATAATCATCTGCAATGACCCTGATTAATCACTTCCCCTCGAAGGTTGATTGCAGACTCTCTCTGTCCTTTTCTTTTTTTGTATGTCTGCAAGAGGTTTAGAATTTGGACTCCAAGCCTTTAGGAGGAGCCTGAGTCAGCAAGTGTGGTCCATCCTCTGAAGCAGTCGGGGCTTGCAGAGACTGCAGAGTGAGCACCAAGGCATCATCTAGCTCCTGGGCATGATCTCAGACTGTCCGGGTCTGCACACTGTCTATCAGTGTCACTGGGATCACAGGTGTCGTCCTTGTTCCCGGCTCTGGACAGCCCAGGATGTTCCGCAGCACTAAATCAAAACTTTGCTTCTGCTCATGGGAGGAAGCCAGGGGATTGGCAGTCCTATGACAATGACAAAACTCTCCTGAGTGCCACCTACCAGGGTAGCCTGCCATCAAGTTAACTCATAATAACCCTATGTTGTTAAGTACCGTGGAGTCAGGTCCGACTCATAGCGGCCCTGCACAGGGTTTCCGAGGCTGTAAATCTTTACAGGAGCAGAAAGCCTCATCTTTCTCCCGTGGAGCAGCTGGTCGTTTCAAACTGCTGACCTTGCAGTTGGCAGCCCAACTCGTAACCACCACGCTACCAGAGCTCTATAGGACAAAGTAAAACTGCTCCCTAGGGTTTCCAAGACTGGAAATCTTTATGGATGCAGGCAACCTCATCCTTCTCCCTCAGAGTGGCTGGTGGATTTGAACTACTCAATCCTCAACCCACGGCATCATCAGGCCTCCTTACTGCCCCACAACCCCAAAATTGGTAGTCAGTGGAAGTCAGTGCCAGTATGAATGGAGGCCTGGTGTGGCGCTGAAGGTCGGCTTGAACTGCAAGGTTGATGATTCAAACCTACCAGTTGCTCCTCGGACACCCTATACAGGGCCACTATGAGTCAGAACCAACTAGATGGCACTTAACAACAACAACTACTCAAACTGACTCAACTAGGCAATCAAAAAAAAAAACTTGGGCCCCTATGTCCCTCCACTGCCCTTGGTAGGTCCTTGCGGTCAGAAAGCATTTCTGTTCAGTTCTACACCTTGGATGCCCACACAGTACTTGGGACTACATTTAGCTGACTCCTGAAGACCTCATGTGCAACAAAATGAAACACCGCCAGGTCCCTGGGCCATCCCCATGATCCCCTGCAGATCAGATGGTTGTGGTCACAGGGTTTTCATCAGCTGAGTCTCAGAAACAGATCACCAGATCTTTCTTCCTGGTCTTAGTCTGGAAGCTGTGCTGAAACCTG